GATGATGATGATTTAAAGAATTTTTGCCTGATTTTTATAAAACGTCGAAAATTTTAAACTCGATACTATATAGTAATAATAATAATGATGATGATGATAATAATGATAATATACACATATATACTATTTAGCATACGAATGTCTGAATCTTTTATGCGTATGAAATGTCTCGAAAACTCGAAATCGAAATCGAAGTCGAACGTAGTAAATAAATAAATAAATTTTTTTATCGACAACCAAAAGCAAATTTTCAATTTATTAAAATTGAACGAATGGGGAGACAGAGGGGGAGGGATGAGAGAGGGAGAGAGAAAGATGAGAGAGAGAGAGAGAGATGGGAGAAAAGTAAAAATTTTTTTCCAATAAAATTTTTTTTTTTATAAGACACGATACGATGATAGTCGTTCGAATCTTTTTCCGCCATTTTCTTTTTTTTTTTTTACGTAATAATAAAATTTATCGAAACGATAATAATGATAATAATAATGATGATGATGATAAATATGAGAGAAAAAAAATTTTTTTTTCTTTTGTTAAATTTAATTTAAATTAAATAAAAATAAGATAAAAAAAAAAAAACGAAAATTTCGAAAAACAAATCAAAACAAGGCAAACGAACAAACAACAAACGGGGACGCCAAAACCACGAAAGGAATTCGAAAAACGGTTCGATATGAATTTTAATTTAATAAGATTCATAACGATGGCGATGGTGATAATAATAATAATGATAATAATGATGAAATTTGATTTGTGTCGTAAAAATGTTTTAAAATAATCCATCGATTTCTTTAGAAAAACAATTTGGTTGTTTGTTTGTTTGTTTTTGTCGTCGTGTCAAGGATGGTGATGATTTTTGGACGTTTATTATCATTATTATTATCAACCGTATATATTCAATTTTTCCTCGACCTTGTCTGTTCCTCGAACAAAGACTTTAATATAAATTTTTTTTTTTTTATTCGTTTCGTCGTTTTACGATTTTTTTTTTTTTTTTATTTGAAGTCGACCTCGTCGGTTTCCGGTTTCTCACCATCGGGGATTTGCCATCTTTTTTTTGTTAAATATTTCAAGATCATTTTTATTTATTTTAAAAATTTTGTGCCAAACGATTTCGTCCAAAATTAGACAAATAAAAAGAATTCCAATGCCAAACAAATAATAATAAAAATAATAATAATAATAATAATAATAATAATAATAATAATAATAATAATGATAATGATAAATTAATTTAAATAAATTTTAAAAAAAACATTTTTAAAATTTTAATTAATTTCACATAATTAAATACTAATTTTAATATTAATGATAATGATGATAATGATAATGACAATGGTAATAATAATGATGATGATAATAATAATTCGTTCGTTTTATTTTTTTCACGCGAGTAAAATTTTATTTAATCCCAGAGTAGTAAATAAAGGAAACTTATCCATTTTTTTTTTTAATTACGTCATAATTTTCGATCGAAATGATTTTTTTTTTTATATATGCGGACACGTACTACCAACTTATTTTCGTTAAAAAAAAAAAAATCGAAAAAAAAACCCGCGAAATGAAAAAAAAATTTGAAATAAAAACGAAAAATTTATTAAATTTTATTTTATTTTTTTTTTTTTTATTCGAACAAAAATAAAAATGATAATAATGATGATGATGATAATAATAATAATAATAATGATGATGATGATAATAATGGTACGTATAACGAATCGAAATAAATAAAATTAAATTTCCTTGAGTTTTTTTCTTTTTTTTTGGTAAAAGATTTAATGATTCTTTTTTTGTAAAAAAAAAAAAATTTTTTTTATTAAATTTCTTTTTCGGGTCGTAATAATAATAATAATAATAATATTAAATTAAATAATTTGATTTATATATCGTCCGCATTTTAAATCTTATTATTATTATTATTATCATTTCTTTTTTTTCAACTTTATAAATTTTTTTTTCTTTTGTTTAAGTCGTCATCATCTCATTATTATTATTATTATTATTAAGTTTAAATTAATTATTAAATGTATGAAAAACGTCAAAGAATGAAAGTTAAAAAAAAAAGGAAAGAAAAAGGAAAATTGAGAAAATGGTAGAAGGAAAAAAAAGGAAATTTTTCAAAGTAAAAATTAATCCCAATGGAATAATCAAGTTTTATAAAAAAAAAAACTTTTTTTCTCTTACTTATCATCAAATCTTTTTTTTTTCCTGTGCCTTAAGGTACGATTTATAAACAATTGAAATAAAAACAGAAAAAGACAAAACATTAAAAATTTAATAAGAGGGAGAGAGAAAGGAGAGAGAGTGCGAGACAGGAAGTGGTTAAAACGTGGGGGCAGGAAAGAGATAGAAGGCGGAAGCATCGAATAAAAAATGTTACGACGAAAAACGACGACGGAAGTCGGAAGACAAAAAAAAAATAAAATCCCCCCGACCCACCACCACCACCACTCCCCCCATCACCCCCCACCCTCCAAAAGAAAATGTTTGATGCTTAAAAATTAAAGATGCGATGAGAGTTTAATAAAGAATTTATTATTTTTTTTTTTTTTATTACGGTAAAGTTTTTCCCCCCTTTCTCTCTATCTCTCTCATTTGTTAACCTTTCACCTTTCCATCCGTTTCTTTAAAAAAAATTATTTCTTTTCTTATTAATAATTATTATTATCATTATGAATTTTTTTTTTTGATAACCGTTTTTTTTTTCAAATGGTTAAAATAAAATTTAAAAAAAAAAAAAAAAAAATGGCGGGAAAATGAATTTTCATTCCCGTGTGTACGATCCCCCTGGCGGCTAATATTCGAATTATTGAAAAAATTAAAATTTATTTTAAAAAAAAAAAAAGTTTTTAATTTTTAAATATTTTTTCTTCTGCTTTTTTTATCGAAACGTTTTTTTTTTTTAATTTATTAAAGGGATGATGATGATGATGGCCGCGATTAAAAAAGGTTTTAATTTTCTTAATAAAAAAAAATTTAAAAAAAAAAAAGGTTTAAATAACAAAAGAAAAGAATTGAGTATAAAAGATAAATTATTATTATTATTATTATTATCATTTCAAAAATATGGTTTTAGATTATGTGTATATAAAAAAAAGGTTGTGGAAAGTTAAAAGTTTCTTTTGTTTTCTTTTTTTTTTTTGAAAGTTAATAAGAGTTTAAAGGTTAGAAATAATGACGTCATTAATAAAAATTTAAAACGTCGTCGTCCGTTTATTTTAATTAAAGTTTTTTTTACTTTTCCAAATTGTAAGAATTTTAAAAAAAAGGTTCGTTTAATTTGGGTTAAATAAATGAAAAGGTCCTCTGTCGTAAAGTTCCTACTACTACCTCTACCCGATCTCATCCTTTTATTTAATCAGTAAAAAAAAAGTATTGCCAACTTAGAAAAAAAAAAAATTTCAATGAGAATTTTTTTTTTGGGATAATAACGAAATTTAATTCCTCTGGAAAATGGGAAGGGAGAAAACGGGAAGAAGAGGAGAGCGGAAAATAAAAATAAAGAAAAGGAAACGGAAATGAATAAAACACCCTTGACGCTCTCTCTCTCTCTCTCTCTCTCTTTGATGCACGCGCGCTCTATATCTCATTCCACGAAACAAATTTTATTTATGTATATATGTATATGTGTATAATTCGTAAAAAATAATTTTATGTTTTACTTATAATTATTATTAAAATATGAAAATAATTTAAGAGGGATTAGATAAAATAAGATAAATAGAAAATTTTACTTAAATTGAAAAAGGGAGAAAGAAAGAGAAAGAGGAAGAGAGAGAGAGAGACAAAAGAGAAAAGTTCTAGAAATTCAAGTTTTCAAAAGGGGAAAACCTTCAAGTTTTTTTTTTTTTTTTTTTTTTTCATTTTTTTACGAAAAAATTTATTTGAGTTGAAAATTTTTGTCGTAAACATATACGCATGCATAAATACACGCACTCACACACACACACGCACGCACGCACTCGAGAGAGAGAGAGAAAGAGAGGGAGGAAAATGATGAAAAGTCAAAGGTGATGGAACGTCATTACTTATTGAAAATTTTAGTTTAAATTCAATGTGATCAAAGACGGATTTTGGTTAAACTAGACAGATACAAATAAAAAGAGAGAGAGAGAGGGAGTGAGTGAGAGTGAGAGAGAAAGAAAAAAAAATTTCTAGAAATTTCCATCACGGATTAAATTGCACGAATCAAAAATTTTTTTTTTTTTTTAAACTAATTTAATTGATGGGAAAACTTTTCCTCTTCGTTGTTTTCATCATTATTATTATTATTATTGTTCAGTCAATTGAAAATGAAACGTGACGTCATAATTTTAAAATTTTTTGATTTAAATAAAAAAAAAATTTGAAAACCTAAAAACCTTTTAAATTAATTGCTTAATAATAATAAAAATTATTATCATTATTATTTTTATAAAGTTTTCAACGTTTTTTTTTACATTTGATTTCGTTTGTCTCTCTCCTCTCTCTCTCTCTCTCTCTCTTTCTCTCTCATTTCGTTTTTCATTTCATTAATTGCTTTCGTTTTCATCGAATACGTCATTTTAATTATTTTTTCTCCGTGTTTATTTTACCCGCATCATTACTTTAATAATAATAATAATATTTTATTAATTTCAACATCCGCATCCGGTTTTATTTGACGTTAACAAACAGTTATTATTATCAAAAAAAAAATTAAAAATGGATGCATCACAATTTCCGGTTATTGACAAAAAAAAAAAAAATTCGGAAATTTTGTAACTATAAAAATTAGCATAAAAAAAAAAAAGGTTTTTACAAATTCGTGATAATTATATTAATATTATTTCGATCGATCGATGAATCGACGATTCGATATATCGATATATACATGGATGATGAGGACAATGTGGAAAAAAAAAAAAATCTTGACCCAAAGACGAACGTTTTTACTTGTCTTGAACGTGACGTGAAAATATTGCAACGCGGCCAAAAAAAATTAACAACAAGGAAAATTGTCGTATAAAAGAACGGTAAAAATGAAAAAACGTGTCAGTAGTGGTTCGACAATGAAGACTTACTTAGTTATATTTGTGATAATCGGTGTCGCTTTCGGCGAAAAAGAAGGACCGTATCCGCCGAGCGGATGGAAACCGGATGGACCGCAATTAACGTATCCTCCACCGACTCCGTCAAATGAATACGGTCCTGCATCAACTCCATCAAACGAATACGGTCCTGCATCAACTCCGTCTAACGAATATGGTCCCGCACCGACGGAACCACCGACGGAACCGCCACAAGAACCCGCACCGACGTACATACCAGCCGAAGAACCTGCCGAACCTCCTCCGAACGGCGGGTATGCGAGGTATCAGAACGGAAGGTTTTCACCCCGGGCTTCGCAAATTGCACCGGGACAATTCGGACAGTTTTTCATATTGAACCCACAGGGTCAATTTCAAAGAGTTCCTCTCGTCGTGCAACAACCGATGATCAATAAAGATGCCGAACTCATAAATCCTCAAGCGATACGTGGAGGACAAACGTTTAACAGACTCATGGAAAAATCGGAAACGAATGTAAAAACTAACGGAAATGGTGGAAACAATCAAAGGAACGACGATACTGGAAAATCTCAACCTAAACAATCAACAGCACAATTCAGGTCCGGTAGAATACAACAACAACAGGAATCATCCGCCGATCCGACAAGATTCGTTGCATTCATACCAAATCAATCGCAAATGAGACAAATCGATGGTACTTCCATGATTCTCGATCCCAAAAGTGGTCAATATCATTTAATACATCCTGATGGTAGACTTCAAAGGGTTCAATACATGAACACGTTAGGACCGGACAATCGTATTGTATCGAACGTTCAATACCAAGAAGTTGATCCCATACGAGGCCCTCTATATACTTTGGGATCACCTCTCGTTCGAGTTTTTTAAAAAAAAGAAAAAAAACGATTGCGTATTTCCGGTACACGATTTGCTTAAACTTCCGGTAATAAATGAATTTTTTTATTTTGTAGCCCCCCTCTCTCCTTCTACCTCCTCCTTCCCTCTCCCTCGCATTTTATTAAATTTTATTTATTTAAAATTATTATTAATAAATGTATATTCAAATTATTATTATTATTATTATTATTATTAAGCGCGGTTTTAAAAGAAAACAATTTTTTTTTTTTTCTCTTTTCGACATCCTTATAATTTGCATATCTCTCCCTCTCTCTCTCTCTCTTCTCGTATCCCTTTTTTTTTTATTTCCCCCACCTTTTTAATATTCATTTTCTACTTTAAGAAGGAAGAGGGAGCCCCCCTCCTTCTTATCTCCTGTTGATTTACCACAAACGCGCGCGGAATATTTAAAAAAATTTTTTTTTTTTTAAAGTTGGCAAAACTGACGTGATACAACAAAAAGAAAAAATAAATTTTTTTTCCCCCCCAATCATTTTAAACCTGTTTGAAATTGATTTGAGACTTTTTTTCTCAATTGTCATATTTCAATCAAAATCCAATTTTTATACAAGAAATAATGATTGAAAAAGAGAGAGAGAGAGAGATAGAAAAATAGAAAGAGAGAGAAAGATAGAAAAATAGAAAGAGAAAGAGAGATGAAAATTTCATCAGTTGTCAATATTTTTTAAGGGATTTCCAATACAAGAAAAAAAAAAAAAAACGTTTTTAACTTACGTGTGACGTTTATCGTTTTCCCGCGCGCGCCACTATCGCCACTGCCGCCATCTTTTTTTTTTTGTACTTCGTAACGGATTTTTATAAGTTTTAAAATAAAAATCACTTTGAAAAAATAAGAAAAAAAAATTAATTAATTAATTAAACGATGAATAAATAAATAAATCGTATCGTACGTATCGTCGCCATGTTTGAAATATTAGTTGGGGAAGGGGGAGTGGAGAGGGAGAGGAAAATTTTTTATTGTTAATAATTCAATTAATAATTATTACGTATTACACGGGGAATGATGGTATAAAAAAAATCTAAGACATTTTATAGCAAAAAAAAAAGTTTAAGGCGTTTTACAGCGAAAAAAAAATTTAATTTTGTTTTTATTTTGAAATGAATATTTTATAATGATAATAATAATGATTTTTAAATATTTTCACGAGTGTTTTTTGTACGCGCACGCGCACACGCGAATTTTCTTTCGACGAAATTTTTCCTCTCTTTTCGTATAAATTTTCATAAGGAAAACAAAAACTTTAATTAGACGTAAAATCAAAAAAAAAAAAAAAATTAAAATAAATAAAGAAATAAAAAAGAGGATGAGGAGTAGGAGGAAGGGGGGAAAGAATATTTATTAAAAAAGGAGAAGAAGGTGAGAGAGAGAGTAGGAGAAATTTATTTAAAATATAGGAGTGGAGGGAGGAAAAAAAAAGAAAATGAAAATTTTAGAGAGTTAAAGAGAGCGAGAAGGGGGAGGGATGAAAGGAGTGGAGGGGGGAATCGTGGGATGGGGGATGAACGTGAATAAATGAAAACGTCAAAAACTTATTTTACAAATAAACGTTTCGTTTCTCTCACATCCCCCCCTCCATTTTACTTTCTATCTCTTTCTCTCACACACATTTTCTATATTTCTTTTTTTATACCTTTTTTCTCTCATCTTCTACATTTCTTTTACTTGCCATCTCTTTCACTCTTTCATCTTTACTATATTTTTCTCTCTCTCTCTCTGTTTTCGTCGTGTATACACATGTTCATAACGAGAGTTTATTTATTAATAATTTTTCTTAGAAAAAAAGATAATCGAAAAAGAAAGAGGAAAAACGCGGGAAAATAATTTGATATTCCTCCATAACTTTTTTTTATTTTAATTTTTTTCCTATTTGACGTTGGCAGCCGTGTGTGTGTTACGTCATCGTTATTATTTACTTTTTTTTTACAATTTAAAAAGGATTTAATGAAACAACATGTGATTATATTTTTATTTTTTGATTTTTGACAAAGGAAAAGTTTTTCTGTTTTCCTTTGAATTTTTTTTTCTTCCTTTTTTTCATTACTATTTTTTCGTTGTAAAAAAGAGAGAGGGAGGGGGTAGAGACAAAATCGTATTTAAAAAAAACATATTTTAGGTTTTTTTTTTTTGTTAAACACAACGAAGAATTTTTCGCAAAGAAATTTAAAAAAACAAAAACGTAACGTCGTGGCAGGAGAATAAATAAATAAAAAGGGGGATGAAGAATAAGATGACCGGTCAGGAATGCATAAAAAGTTTTTTTTTTTTTTTTTGTCTTCTTCCCTTTTTCATGAAAAGGTTTTTACTTTCATTTTTTTTTCTAGAACTTTATTTCCCCAGACGTTAAGAAAATTTTACCTCAGAGAAATTATTTTCTGGTGATGGTGGTGGGTAATACAATATGCGAGATTTCAACGAAAGGTTTTCTCCCCCCCTTTTTTTTCTTTTTTTCTTTTCTGTACTTTTTCCTTTCGTCCATTTAGAATTTTTTGTCCGGAATATAATTCTTTTTTTTGTCGTCACAGTAAGTCGATCTCTACTTTCGACGACCAACACCACGTGACGTTTTAACCCTCCAACCCTTAAGGTCAACAACAGGTTAAACGTGTTCGCATTATTTTCTTTTAATTATTATTATTATTACTTACCCACAAAAGGGTCTTTAGTACAAATTTTTCATTTCTTAACCGACCACCACCATCTTGTTTTTATTTTTTTTTCAATTTCTACTAAAATCTTTTCTTTCTATAATAATAAAAACAATAATAATAATAATAAAACAACGTCTCACCGTTTTATTTAATTGATTACGTTTTCGCGCCATTTTTTTTAATTTTTATTTATTTAAATAAATGAATTATGGAGACATAAAGTCATAGAGTAAATAAATAAAATTTTATAAACGTTTAAAAGGTCAAATGTTTTTTTTTATTATAAACGTGTCATTAGATATTAGAAAAATTTTTTGTTTTATCATTATTATTATTTATTACTTGTAACTAAATAAAATGAAGGAAAAAAAATGCGGCAGTGGCGTATTAAGAAACAAGAAAAATATTTTTTTTTTCATTTAAATAAAAAAATGTCGAAATATTTTTTTTTTCTAGAAATTTCTTGAGCAGTAAAGGAATAACAAAGGAAAAATTTACATTGTTAATTAATTTCTTTTTGTTACAAAATCTTTTCTCTCTCTCTCTCTGTCTCTTTCTCTCTTTCTCTTTCGCACGCGTTGATTTTTCTCGTTAAGGAAACGAGTTGAATGAATTTCTTTTGTTTTATCAATTTTCCTTTGTTTGATTTTTAATTCCCCTCTTTGGGATATTACGAAATAGAACATTCGCGAAACACGCGAAATTTTAACGACAAAAAATTAAAATTTGAACTTTAACCTTTTGCTTAAAAAAATAAAAAAAAAAGGATAAAAAAAACAGTTTTTTATATTAAAAAAAAAAAAAAAAAATGAAAAATATTGAAAAAAAAGAGAGAGAGAAAAAAAAGGGCATTAAAAGGGTGGAAGGGTTGGTGGGTGGGAAGGGGTGGGGAGAACCTTTTTCCTAAGAACCTTTTTCAGTCTGTTTAGTATTTAAAGTTTAATTTAAATTTTTAATACCTGAAAAAAAGAAAATAATAAATTGAAAGCTTTTTCTTTAGCTTAAATCCAAAACCTTTTTTTTTCTCCTTTTTCTCCCTCTCTTTTCTTCTTCTTTTTCTTCTTCTATTATCCTTTTTTTCCATGACTTAAATCATCCTTACGTCTTTTTCTCAAACTTTCCTTTTTCTTTCCTTTTACAGAAAAAAAAAAAAAAGAAAAAAAAATTAAAATAATAATTAATTGCTTCTTTTCCTCGTAAATCCTTTTTTTTTCCTTTTTCTTTCCTTTTTTTCATTTTTATTTGTAACAAAAATAATAATAATATTAATGATAATAATAATAATGACGTTTATAATGATGATGATGATAGCTTAGAAAAACATTTTTTTTTTTTTTCGTTTTCGAAAAAAGAAAAAAAAATTATTTTTGACATTTAAAAAAAAATTTTTCATGCACATAAAATTATAATAATAATAATATCACGTGTTGAAAATGGTTTTTAAAGTCACAAAAAAAAAAAAAGGAAAAAAGGTTTAATTCTCAATGGAATCAATAGTGAGTCAATGGTTTTCGAATTTCCTTTTAAAAATGAATATAAACAAAAAAAAAATTGAAAAAAAAAATATATATATATCAATCTCACGAGATTTGATTTGAATAAATATTTTTTCTTCGGTAAAATTTCATTTTTTTTTCCATTTATTTTTTTTTTGTTTGAAACAAAGGAAACAAAGGAAAATATTTTATCTAATAATAATTCTTTTTCGTGTATCGTACAAAAAAAAAAAGGAAAATTGTTTTTTATTTCGATGACGTAACTATTCATCTATATCGCGGGAGTTTTTAATCTTTCTATAAAAAAAAAAAAAAGTTTCTCATCCTCCTTCTCCTCATCCTCCTCCTCCTCCTCCTCTTTACCGCCATTTCTCCGAATCTTGACTCCTCCCACTTTACTCCTCCCCCTTTCCATTTTCTATTTTGGGTATAAAAAAAAATTCGTTTTCGATCGTAAAAATGATAAACAAAAAAAAAAGGTTTTTATTATCATTATCATTTATTTATTTACTTATTTACATACGCACCGTTATCATTTTATCAGTGATAATAATAATAATAATATTGTTTTAATGCAAATGAATGGTATAATAAAGGACAACGTAGGGAGAGCAACTTTAAAGAAAATAAAACTGAAAAAGATGTAAAAAAAGTGGTTGAGAACACGTGACGCGTTCTAGATTACCCCTAACCCTACCCTTACCCTTCTCCTACTTCTCCCCCACCTCTCCAATGAGTTAAAATAATTTTACGGTTGCGCATAATTATATCACTTTTAACCGATTAGAATTAATTATTTATAATATTATTATTATTATTTCAAAAATTCTTTCTTTTTACGTGAGTGTTTCGAAACGAAGAGGATTAATCTCTCTCTCTCTCTCTTATCATTTATCACTCTTATTATTTATATCCGATATGAAATTAAATCCTCCCGCCCCCCAAAAAATAAAAAAAAATTTTCGTTTGGTTTTTTTCGATAATTTTTTATACTAATTAATAAAATTATCATTATTATCATCGTCGTTGTTGTCATCATCGTAAGAATTTCTTAATGTAAGTAAATGAAATTTCTATTAAAAAAAAAAAAAGAAGAAATTTAACGGGTAAGGAGGGGTAAGGGTTGAGGGGAGGAAAACGGGAGAAAAATGAGAAAAAAAGAAAAGTTTCTTGTGTAAAAAAAGGAAGAAAGAAAAAGGAAAAAAAGGAAAGAAAAGGAAAAAAAATATACAACAAGAAACTTATTCATAAAGATAAAATGGAATATCAAAGAAGTTAATTAAAATAAAAATGCTGTAGGGAATAATTATTTCTGTTGGATGTATTTTTTTTCACCATCATCATCGGGTAATAATAAAAATAATTTGAATTTAAAATGGAGCGGGGAGGGGAAAGAGGGGGAAGGGAAAAACGATTTAAAAGAATAAGAGAATAATAATAATAATGATAATAACGCTGTCGTTTTTTTTTTTTTTATTTATTTAGGTCTGCGGTAAAGTTTTTGGAAATGCTTCCGCATTAGCAAAGCACAAGTTAACCCACAGCGACGAAAGAAAATACGTTTGTACAATGTGCGGGAAAGCTTTTAAACGTCAGGATCACCTGTGAGTTATTAATTATTATTATTATTATTAAAACCGTTTAATGGAAACTTTTCTTTTTGATAAAAATTATCATTAACATTTAGAAACGGACACATGCTCACACATCGTAATAAAAAACCGTATGAATGCAAAGCGGAAGGTTGTGGAAAATCATATTGCGATGCGAGATCGCTGAGAAGGCACACGGAAAATCATCATACAGGTACAAACGGTGGAAACGGTGCGGGAAATCGGGAAGTCGCATCTCCTTTGGCATCGAGTTGCATACAATATGCTCCACCGACAGCATATCAACCCACGCAATATCCTCCGTCGTCGTCACCGTCTAGTTCCACGTCGAATACTCCGACAAAAGCTCCGAGTCATTTACAACAGCTTCTTGCAAGCGATTCAAACGCGTCAAACGCGTCATCATCGTCGTCTTCCACAAAGGTAACAAAAAAAAAAAATTTATCTTCATTCTAGTTTTCTCCCCATTCCCCCATACCCTTCACCCCCTCCTCTTCTTAGAGAAAAAAAAACGTTAAAAAGTTTCAACGGAAAACGCGAGAATCCATGTTCGTTTTTTTTTTTTAGTTAATTTTAATTATTTTCAAAAGAGAAAATTAAAAAACAAAATGAAAACAACAACAACGACGACGACGACGACAGCATTAAAAGCATAATTTTAAGAAATATCAAAAACCGCAAAATGTCACAACAAAAACTTTTCTCTTTCCCCCACTCCCCTTGCACTCCCCTCCATCCCTCCGCGTCTTAAAGGAAAAAAGGAAATTTTCATTTATAATTTTAATAATGAAAACATTGGTTGTTATTATTATTATTATTAATAAAAATTCATTTGATTTGCGCAGACAACAAACAACGCTCAATCTGTTAATAACGACGGTTTGACTAAACAACAATTAGATCTCATACATCAAATAATGCAACAAACGCAACAAGGTCAAACGACTCCTTTGCAAAAACAACAAAAAACGGGGAATAACAACGTGGCATCAGCAACCGTAAATAATAATAATTCTACAAACACGACGTCCAAAGTTGTCACGACGGCTCCCGGAAAAACAAAAGCTTGGGCACTTCAGGTAAGAATTGCATACTATCGGGGGAAACACGAGGGAGAGGGTGAAGAGAGAGAGAAAGAGAGAGAGAGAGAAAACGATCAACGTTTTATTATTATTATTATTATCATCATCATCAATTCGTGGCTCCTTCCACTCGTTGTTAAAAAAAATTTAAATACTCTCGCGTGTATGGAACACGTAAAAAATTTTTTTTTTTTTTTTCAAACGCGATGATCGAATAGCTTAAAGGAAATCCGCCATATTGAATTTTATAAAATATTTTTTACCGGCGGAAAACGGGGGTGGGAAGGGGAAAAAGGCGGAAAGAGGGAGGGGAAAAATGAAGGAAAAAATAATAGGAAACGATGCTGGAAAATATCGAGAGAAAAAAAATTATTATTTTTTCCTTTTCGATATAATTATTTAATAATAATAATAATAATAATAATCATTTGCTTACGACGACGGAAAGGAGAAGGAGAGGAAGAGGGAAGGGGGAAAGAGGGGGGAGAAAAAACAATAACGATATTATGAAATTAATAACAAATATTAAAATATTTTCATAAAATAAATATTATATATTCATATAAATTATTTATTGAATATTTTAAATTCTTTAGAGTAAAAAAAAAAAAAAAAAATTTTTTTTCGAATTTTTCTATTTTATAAAGTTACGTACGTACGCTTACGCGCACACGCCCACGTATATTTTAAACAAAAGAAACTTTATTCGACAAAACACGAAAGTAGGAAGGAGGGGGAGGGGAAGGAAGAAGTAAAAATAAATAAATTTTTCAAAGGTATTTTTTTTCCTTTTAAAAAAAAAAAAAATTTAATTAGTTTAACGTTTCGTTTCGCTTTTTTTTTATTTTATTTTATTTTGAATAATGATAATAAATTTAAACAACAGGGAATTAGATAAGGAAAATAAGGAAGGAAGGAAGGAAAATACGGGAGAAAGGGAAATTCGGGAAAGGAAAGGAGAACGAATTTTGTCGATAAAAGTTTTTAGAGTCAAAATTTTTTTGCCTACGGAAGTGAGTCAAGTTATAAAAACGAATATGTACATATAAAAAAACATTAAAAATTAATTTTATGTAATTTTGCAATAAAGAAAGTTAAGAAAATTAACGACCAATCAAAAAATTTTTTTAATTTATTTACGTTTTTTTTCATTGGTCGAAATTTTTTTTTTAAAAGATCGGATTCGCGATGATTATCATTACTACCACCCCCTCCTTCTTATACTTATCGCAATCGGTCGCGAAAAAATTTTTATTTTTTTATTTTTTTTTGTTTTTTGTCCGAAAACGGATACGGAAACGAGAAGAAAAAATTTTTTTTTTTTTTAATTAATTTATAGACGTTTAATTTTCGTTTTCGAGTAGAAAAAAAAAAAAAAAAAAAACAAAAACAACACGCCCCTGACATGACTGAATTTTTAAAATAATTTATTTACCGAATTTCATTAGCGAACACAAAAAAATAAAATTTATTTTTGTGACGTCACATTTTTCCCTTTCCCCTCATCCTTGCCGTTTTTCGTCTTCCCTCCTCTCCCTTTTTCCACTCATTTTCTCCCCTGTTTTCAACTCGATTCGTTTTTGTATTTCTTCCAGTCGAAAAACACACATACACACAGAAAGAGACATTTTTCCGTTTATATAAATATATATTTTATAAAATTAATTAAATTAACATAATTAATACATAAAAACCATTTTACGTATTAATAATAATAATAATAATAATACGAACGAAACCGGATATCCATCTTTTGAATATAATGAAAAACGTATTTTAACCCGTAAAACATCATTTTTAAATTTATTTCGATTCGTTTTAATAAAAATAAATAAATTTTCATTAACTTAAAAAAAAATAAGCAACAGCAATATAACTGTTTAACAAAAAGAACAACAAACGACGACAACAACAACAGCAATAATGATAATGATAATAATATTATCGAGCAAATGAATTAAAAAAAAAAAAAAAATAGTTTTCGGTGAAGACGGGGGGGAGAGAAAAACAAAAAAGTTTTAAATTTTTTTTTCATTCTTATTACGTATTATTATTATTATTATTATTTTTATATCATCATCAGCGCCGCCACCGTTATCATTATCATTATTATTATTATTATTTTTAGATGAAAACTTTTATTAAAAAAAAATAAAATATAAATAAATAAATAAGAAACATAAGTTATGCGAAATTTTAAATTTCTGAAAGATAATAAAAATAATAAAAATAATAATAATAATAATAATAATGATGATAATAATGATAATAATAATGATAATATTTATTGTTGCAAACTGAGCAGAAAGAAAAAATTAAAAAGTTTTTTTAGAAGAAGTGAGGAAGAGAAAGAGGAAGGGAGAGAAGGATGGGAAAGGAAAGGGAATGAAAAATGAAGGGGGAGATAAACGAAGGAATGAGGTGGGGAAATGACGGAGGTCAAAGGTTACACGGTGGACGTAAAAAATGAAAAAAAAAGGGAAGAGAAGGGATGGGGAAAACGTAATAAAATTTTCTTCAACTTTTGCCATTTAAAAAAAAAAAAAAAAAAAAAAACTTTTTTTGTTGTCTGAAAGAAAATGAGGGAGAGAAGGAGGAAAAAAAGGGGGCGGAGATAATGAAGGTGAAAAAGGTGGAACGGGTGAATGGGGGGGTGGGGAAAAGTAGTGAAAATAAGAAAAAGGAGGCGGGGTGATGTTGTAAATGTAAGAAAAAAAGTTTTTTCGTAAGAAAATTTGTTTTATGCGAACGAAAAGAACGAAAACATTAATTAACGTAATTATTTAATAATAATAATAATAATAATAATAATAATTTCTTTCTTTCTTTCTTTCTTACTCTTTCTTGCCCTCCTCCTCCCTCTCTCTCTCTCTCTCTCTTTCTTTCGTTTTTTTATTAAAAAAAAAATTTTTTCAATAACGTTTTTATAGATGAAAAAAAAAAAAAATATAGCGCTATAATTTCTTCGTTATTAAAATTTATTAATTTAATTTAAGTCACTCGGTTATCGGGTTAAACCTAATTAATTTTTTTCTTTTTTAATTTTTAAAGCCTGAAATTAGCAGACGAAATTAAAATATAGAAAAAATTTTTTGAAACCTTTTTTTTTTTACATCATCATCTTCATCGCTCTTTTCCCCCTAACCTCCCCCTCCCTCTCGCCTTTTTTTTTTTAAATTTTGTGCCGAAGTTGAAAAAAATTTTCCTTTTTTTTAATTTTATTTTATTTTCCTTTGGCAAAATACTTTAATAATGGGATTTATTACAAAATAATTTTTAATTCGGGATTTCCTTTGGGAAAGAGAAATCGGCTCATTATCCCTTTTTTTTTTAAATTTTTTTTTTCCTACTTTTCCCCCCTTTTTCGGGGAAGGGGAGGGGGAGGGGGAAATATAAAAATAATTTTTATAAAATATTTTTAAAAGGTTTTTTTTTTATGTTGAATAAATTAAAATGGCGTCGGATATTTTTCGACGATATCAATAACGACGCATCGTCACAATTTATTTAAGATTGTTTACGTCACCGATTACGTCACTAACCCTTAACTCGACGTAGACTATAATAGAACCCCTGAATTACGACGTCGTTTATTTTTATTATTATTATTATTTTAATTTTTTTCCTACGTAAAATTTCGCACACATCCTCGCATCTATATTTATTTTTATCAATGTTACCAACTTTAAAAAAAAAATAACGCGTAAACCACTAACGAGTAGAGTCGAACACGTACGCACACGCACACACACACATCATTATTTATTATTAAAATTTGTTGTATGGGTGATGGCGGCGGTGGTGGTGGTGGGGGTGGGGTGGGGGTGGGGTGGGGGTGGTAAAAGGAAACGAAACAAAAAAAAATGGCGGTTTTTATAACACAAAATAATTTTTTTTTCATTTTTTTTTAACGTTATAATGCCGTAGACGTTATTATTAATTTGACCGTCTCTCATCAAAGATCAAAGTCAAAAAAAAAAAAAAATTTAGCAGACGACGAGTTTATAATTAACTTTTGATGATGGGTTTTACGTTCTCTCTTCCTCTCTCTCTTTCTCTCTCTCTCTCTCTCTGTGTGTGTGTGTGCTCGCCTGTCAAACGTGAATTTTTTTTTTTAATTTCAAATTAAAAATTTTGTAAAAGAAAAAAAAGAAAAAAAAAACGGGAATGAAAAAGAAAAGAATAGGAAAAAATAAATAAGGGATGAAATGAATGAATGAATGAATGGAAGAGAGAGAGAGAGAGGGAGGGAAGAAGGGGTACGGAAGGGGGTTCAAAAAGTAATTTTATATTTCCATTACTTATATATATATATATATATATATATATATATATATATATATATATATATATATATATATATATATGTATTAAAAAAAAAATATGGCGAACGATAAGAATGAAAAAAAAAAAAAATTCGTCGATTTCATTTTTTTTTAAAAAGATTATTATTATTATTATTATTATTATTATTATTATTATTATTATTATTATTATTATTATTATTATTATATATTTTTCTAAAAAAAAACGTCAACCATTTCCCATGTGAATGAAAGTGTAAAAGGAAAATGTTGCTAAAGTTAATTGAATAAGCCATCGCCTGTTGGGATTCAAACAAACTCAAATTTAAGGTTAAAATTTTCGTTCGACTAAATCAAAAACTTACGTGTATATATATATATATATATATATATATATATATATATATATATATATATATATATGTATTTGACTTCGTAAGATAAATATATATACAAAAAAAAATGAAACAAACAAAACAAACGATAAAGATTTCAAACGTTAAAATTCGTCGCGAAAATTTTTTTTTTTAAAAAAACAAAACGAGACCGTAAATAAACTTTAACAATTTAACTTTTGTCATTTACGTCGTAGAAATGAAATACAACGTAAATAAAGACATACAAACGTACAAACAAACAAACAAACAAAAAAAAAGAAATATGAAACAATCCTTTGATAAATATATTCAAAGGAAGGGAAAAAAACGGTTTTATTTAAATTTTGCAAATGTTAAAAAAAAAAAAAATTTTTTTAATCCAGTTAATGAACTCTCGAGTTTCGTACTTTTTACGCCCTTAAATGAAAAAAAAAAGGGTTCAACCCTTCATCATCATCATCATCATCATTATCATCATCTCAACGTTTTTCACATCATTTTATACATACGAAACGTGTATATATTTTTTCCTTAATGATTACATTCAAAAATAACTCGATATTATTCTCACGACGGTGAGAGAGAGGAGGGGAGAATTCCCCTCCCCTTCCTCTCTTCCCCCCTCCCTTTTTTTTCTAAAACGATTGCTGCATTTAAATTTACCCGCGAAAAATTATACGAATTTTAAGGATTAAAAAAAAATATATGTGTAAATGTATGAGTAAGAAGAGGTAAGAGGAAATTATAAAATGGAGTAGGAGGTTTTAATTGTGGGAGGAGCAAACGAGGATAAAAAAACGAATAAGATAAAAGATATTACGAGAAAGATGAAGATATGGGAATGCGTGAGAGTGAGAGAGTGAGAGTGAGTCGGACGTAAGAAAAATTATTTAATTAATTTTATAAACTTTTTTTTTTTTTTTAAATTTTCCAAAAAATATTCAAAGAATTTTTAAATTAATTGCCCCGAATTTTTAAATATGGAATGTTGGGTGGAAGTGGGGGTGAGGGAGAGGGTGGGGAGGGAGAAAAACGGCCGAAGCAAAGAATGAATTCGTTAGTATAAAAAAAAATAAGCGAGAATTCGAAAAATCAATTTTCTCGATTTTATTCTCTTTCCATCGACTCCACCATCACCACCACCACCGCCACCGCCACCCTACCTGCCCTATTCTAACAAATTTTGCCCTTTTCATTGTTTCTCGCTTTTTTTCCCACATCTCCCAACTCTCACCCTCTCTCCCTCACTCATCCTTTTTTTTTTATCGTATGAGAATTTCAGCCATCTTTAAAAAAAAAAAAAAAAAAAATTTACAAAACAGATGGAAAAAAATGTCGTAAATAAAAAAAACCTCGGAAACAAGAAAATTACTTTTCCATTTATTCCCATGGTTCTTTCTCTCGGTTTAATGTTAAGGTTCTGGAATAAAAAAATTTTCCCTGGAATTCTTCGTTTCGCTAATTGCTTTTAAAAAAAAAAAAAACTAACAACAGCACCAACCGAACACTCTCTCCCTGGAAAATCGTGAAATAATCATTTCATTTTTTGACGTCACTTCCTTTGAGATTTCAATTATTATTATTATTATTTGTCAGAGTCAAAAATGAAAAAAAAAAAAAAATTTCACTTTCACTCATCACCACCGAACCCCTCCCCTCCCCCGGCTCCCCCTTCTCTCTCTCTCTTCCGTTGCTTTCGTTTTTTTTTTCGTACTCCCACCATTTCTTCTCCCACGTTTTCCTTCTCCCTTCCTCCCCATCTCCCTTCCTCGAATTCAATCATTTTATACGAAATTAATTTTTTTTTTTTTCTACGTCATCGTCACACGCACTCACGTCATCATAATAATAATAATTATTATTGTTTTCCTGTTATAATCGTAGTAGAATTTTTTTTTATAACGTCACCCAAAAGAACTGCCAACTGTTGGAAAAAAAAAAAAAAATTTTTTTTTACAATAACACGAATAATAATAATAATAATATTTAGTAATAAAATGAGGGATATTATTTTCCCATGATTTTTTTCTTTTCTTTTCTTTTAATAAATCTTCCATACAGTTTCTTTCACGACGACGATGATGATGATGATGAATACAAATAAGAGGGAAACTTTAAAAAAAAAAAAATAATGAAAGGGGAGAAAAACATGTGAGACTGTCTGGAGAGAAAAGAAGGAACCTGTTACAAAAAAAAACAAGATTTTTATTCCCATTAAAAAAAAAAAAATTCCAGTTTTTATCTTTTTTTTTCGAGATGGTCAATTGGATGGATGGCGGTGGTCAGTTGTTAGTCGGTATCCGTTTCCAACGCGTTTATTAACACAAACAAACAAACAAATTTTTTTAAACGTGTCATAAGAAAATATTTTTAAGTTTTTTTCTAATTAAAATGGATGCTTGGATTTCATTGGATTCTTATAGTGTATCATCATCATCATCATCATCATCGTCGTCGTGTTCAGAATCATTTTATCAAAGTTTAAAAGAAGTTTCATCTACTATACAATACGAAGATCAACCGACATCGACAACGACAAACGATAAAGATTTAACAACTACAAACATTTTTAAAAACGATGACGATGACGATGACGACAAAACTATTTCATCCGTTATTAATTCTTACGAAAATAATAATAGTGATAATAAAAAAATTTTTACATTAAATAAAAATTACGGTTTTAATAATACCAATTTTATTAATAATAATAATAATACTAATGATAATAATAATAGTAATAAATACGATAATGATATTTTTTTAAAACCACAAAATTTAAACGTTTTAAATACTGGAATCGAATGGGTTTGTTTTTCTTTTGTTTTTTTTTCTTTTTGTTCTAGAATTTTCTTTAAAACGACAGAAATAATAAAATCATTTTCCACTCATTTTCTTTTTAAACGACAGCAAATTCATTAATATTTTAAAAGAAAAAAAAATTTTAGTCGAGGATTTATTTACGTACGAATCACATTTTTAAAGAATTTAAATTATTTTCAAAATGGCGGAATTTTTTTTTAAACCGTTATTTATATAAAAAACGTTTCTAGAAAAACTTTTCGAAATTTTTCGTTTTATGAAATAATATTTTCCCCTTTAAATAATAATAATAATAATTAAAATTATGTGACAATAATTTTTTTTTGATTTTACAGAGTCCCGCTTTTGGTGGAGTCAAAGGAAATAACATAACGACTACGTCACAAAATGGCGGACAAACATCTGGAATATCAAAAACGGAACCGAAACCCGTCGAATGCGCTTTGTGTCATAGAAAATTTAAAAATATTCCAGCATTGAATGGACATATGAGATTGCACGGAGGTTATTTTAAAAAGGTTTGTGTCTTCTGCTTACTTACTTTTTTTTTGTTAATACCCATGAGAAATGAAGCATTTCGCACTGACCTTCCTCCCCCACCCGTTATCTGGGAGAGTGTGGAGGACTCAACCTCAAATCCCTCCTAAGCCAGAACCATCAGGTTCACACTCGCGAAAGTGGGAATCCCACCTCAGGAAGATCCCGGTACTTCCCCTTTTTTACCCTTTGAAAGACAGTCCCGATCTGTTACCATCGTTCCTGCCTCTTTCGGAGATCCTGTGAGTGTCTTGGGAGAGAGAGAGGGAGAGAGACGTTCGGGGTCCTGAATTCTGTTGGTCGTTCATCCGTTTTCCTTTCACGTCACTGCTCCGTATTTTTACCCTGTTCGGATCAAGTACCCAGTTTCACCCTCTCGAACAAGAGTCGGGGCATTCCCGACGCCTCGAAAGGGTTCTAGGTTCCTTATCCCCTTATGTAGGTACAGATCTCTTCTTGTCAAAGCGAATTGAACTCCCTCCGTTCCCAGGATTTGAACCCATGACTCCCAACTCGGTTAGGACTCGGGCTCCTCTAAGGCATCCAATTTGAAGTTTAACCCCTAGCGGATGCCTAGTTAATGTGGAAAATTCAATCCCAGAACCCCCCCCTTAAAACATCCTTCATACACCTAACCTCCAAGGTTTGTGTCTTCTGCTCTTACATTTTTTTTTTCTTTTTCTTCTATAATCTTTTATATTTTTCGTTTATACCGGAAGAGAAAAAAAAAATTTACGGCGTTAAAGTTTTTTTTTTTTTTTTCTTAAACAAATTTTCTTTCTTTTCCTTTTCCTTTTCCCTTTACTCTCTCTCGCGCCTTCTTTGTAAATAATAATAATAATAATAATAATAAGAATAGTTAAAAGAGCGAAAACTTTTCATGAATATTAAATTTCAAATTTTATGAATAAACGTTAAGAAGTTATTTTGATTCTTCGTTTCTTCAATATCACAATAAGTTTCCGGTTCCGTTTTCCGGTTTTTACGAATTTAAAATAAGAAATTATTATTATTATTATTATTATTATTATGAAAAGGAATAGAGTGTGAGAATGAAAAGGGCGCTTTTTCTGAAAAACCGGAAACAAAAAAAAGAAAAAAATTTTTTTTTCTCACAAAAATCAAAATTATTCTTAGTCCTCTTTTTCCTCTTCCCCTCCCCTCCCCTCTTCTTCTCTCCCCCTGAAAAAAAACGGTTTAAAATTTTTTTTTTTTTGAATTTCCGCCATTTTTTTTATTCTTATAAAAACGGCGGACTTCCGGTAGTTTTTTAAAAAAATTTCGTTTGGTCCTCTGGTCGTTTTATTCTTACTTAAAATGCAACAAAAGTAGTAATAATAATAATAAAAGGAAAATTTATATCTGCGACATCCGACGAAATCTTTTCTGATGCTGTTGGTGCTGTTGGTGTTGCAAAGAACTCCTTCGAGTAACTTTTGTTAACTTCCGGTTCGGAAAAAAAATCATTTTCGTTTTAAATTTTAAGGTTTTTTCCGGGGACGTTTTTTTTTCGGCGGAACCTTTCCTCGGGAGGGGGTTCCCTCCTCGGCGGTTCCGCCGACCCATTTCCGTTTTAATATTCCAATATTCCAATATTCCAATACATTTTTTTCCTTCGTGTTTATTAAAATTATCCTTAATTAAAAAAAATTTTTTTTGTGAAGACGACGTAAATAATTTGCGTTCCGGCACAGTTGGCCATCTTGACGATTGCTAGCTCACGATTCGTTTCCTCTCTTCCTTCCATCCTTCTCTCTCTCTCTCTCTATTCCCCTTTTCTATATCTTCATTCTCCCCCTTTTACATCCTTACATCTTCTCATCCGTTTCCTTTCTTATCGTTTTACCTTTTCGTGCCTTCGAGCAATAATAATAATAATAATTAAAAGAAAAAAACGTTTAACGAATCGAAAAAAATTTTTTTTTGCAATTCCCATTGCCTTTTTTCTTTTCCTTTCCTTTAATGCCTTTTCGTGGGTTCAAATTTAAACCTTTTTTTTTTCCTTTAATTTTTCGTAATTTCAATTGAAAAAAATTTAATGTCATTAATTATTACTCCCATCGTTAAACGTGAGTAATAAATAATTTTATTACAACAAATAAAGGTAATAAAAAATTTTTGTGTTATCATCGTGGATTTTAATTAATCCCCCGAGGAAAACGGGGAAAAAAAAAAAAAGTGAGCGGCGGGGATCTCAAAGAATCTTCTCGTGTATGAGTGTGAGTGTGCGTGTGCGTGCGTGCGTGCGTGCGCGTGTACGTGCGTTTTAAATCTTTTCATTTAATAAATCAGGGTAATTAAAAAAATGCAAACCAAATAATAAAAAACGCGAAAACAACGAAACAAACGTAATAAAAAATTATTATGACGTCATTTTAAAATAACGTATTTTAATTAATGTAAAATTACCCTTTTGATTAATTCGTTCGTTATTATTATTATTATTATTGTCGTTGTCGCTTCGAACGACGCCATTTTGTTTTTTAATAAACGACCGATCGAATGGAGGGAAATAAGGTAGAATGGTATAAAATTTTTAGGTTGGAGGGAAAATTTTTTTGTTTTCTTTGCTCCTGATGCTGTAGTTGTTTGTTGTTGTTGTTTGTTGTTTGAATTATTTTTCGTGATTAGCGGAGAAAAAAAAAATTTTCTTTTTTTTTTTCTGTTTCCACGATGTAAAAGAAATAAGTTTTTAATTTTTGTAGTCACGTATATAACAAATGAAAAAGTTGTTTCCTTTTCTTTTCTTTCCCTTTCCACTTTTCCAATTTCACCTACGTCATCATTATCGTCGCCTACATGCCCCTCCTCCCGACCCGCCCACTTTCGTATTACTCCCTCGCTTTCTCCTCCTCCTCCTCCCCCTCTTATTTTACTTTCAACCATCGCACTTTTTACTTCATTCCACGCTCGTTTTTTTCTTTTCTAAAAAAATTTTACAGCTTATCTTTGCATCTTTCGGAAAAAGTCGGGTAGGAAAAGAGAGAGAGTGTGGGAAAGAAAGACGGTGGGGGAGAGAGAGAGAGAGAGGGAGAGAGATAGAAAAAATAAAAACTTACCTGAACTGAGTTTATATTGTTTAAGATTACACGTTGAGAAACGTGCTTATACATCTTATCATTGGATTTCCCATCATGTGTTAACTCTTTCAATTTTATTTTCTTTCTCTTTTCATCTTATTATAATTTCCCATCTTTCTCTCTCTCTCTCTCTCTCTCTTTCTTTACCTCTTCCTCTTTTTCCTCACTTTTTAACTTCAATTTAACGTTTGAGAAAATTTTGATTTTTCATGTGGATTTTTTAATAAAAAAAAAAAACCTGGAACAAAAAAAATTTTCACGAATAATAATAATGATGATAATAATAATAATAATTTGTCGTGATTTAAAAGAATAAAAAAAAAAGTGGAAATTTAATAAAAAAAAAAAAAAAAAAGAAAAAAAACTGCATCAAATTTTTTTAACTTACTGTCACACATTCAAAAAAAAAGAGAAAGAGAGCATTTATCAAAAAAAAAAGGAAAAAAGGAAAAAAAAGGAAAGGTAAAGGAATAAAAGGTTAGAAATGAATATTTTTCCCTTTTATCAATTCGTGATTTCTCATAAATTTTAAAACTTTTTTTTTTTTATTTAAGAACAAAACCTTTTTAACATTGCGAGACAGATTTATGACCAAACGTTTGGGTGAAAAAGGTTTTTTAAAAACAAAAAGAAAAGAAAATGAAAAAAAAAAAAATTTATTTCCAATTCGTTTTCTAGAAAATTCTTATTGACTTTTCCCCTCCCCTACTCTCACATGGTGGTTGTGGTTTAAATCATTTTAAAAATTTTTAGACGATTAAATTAAAATCCAACATGCCCACACGCACCCACTTTACGACTTCGTAGTTATGATGATGATAATAATAATAACGTATTATTTTTCACGACAGGATTCGGAAGCGAAAAAATGCGAGAAAAAGGAAGTGAATGGACCACCCCTACAAACGGCGAGTATGAGCGTCAGAGCTTTAATAGAAGAAAAAATTATACAGAAGAGAAATACAAACACACAAAATGTTGTCGCCGTTTCGAGTGAGTTTTTTGATTGGACCTAACACGGAGAGAAAGAGAGAAAGATGGTGATTGATTCGTTTCGTTTCAGGTGATAATAATAACGGAAGTAAAAATGTAACCGGAAGGAATTTGGTTGCGGCGACTACGACACCGAAACAAAATCAAGAACAAGATTTAAATATAAAACTATCGTCGTTTGCCGTACCCGCTCCGCCGATACAGACGACGACGACGACGATACTCTCGTCGTCTGAAAAAATAAGACGTCATTCTGATTCTGAACATTTTTTACCACCGAGAGCACCCTCGGGAGTTCAACAGGAAGCGCAAGCTCTAGCCGAATTATTATTAAAAAGAGGGAAAAAATTATCGGTTAAAAGAGCGAGTTCGGATCCTGGAGCCATCATTAATCCGAGTAGTCCGCTCCAGTTGAGCGCCAACAGCAGTCCGGGTCCTCCGTTGCAATTGAGTTTTCAATCTCCCGATTACACGTTGAGCGGCGTGACGTATCAAACGGAAGATGGCGGTTATTTTTCACCCAATCTTCAAGAGGATGTTTTTCAACAAGTTTCTGCGGATTCTATGCTTTTGCAGGGTGTGGATCCCAATCAATTGACTGATTCGTTGCAATTTCAAGCGTCTCTTCTGCAAGATCAAACGGATCAATTAGCTTTGGAAGAATATCAGGGTTCAAACACTCAAGATTTGCAAGCCGTTTTCAATTCGGCTCTTCCTGTCAATTTGGCCGAGTTTGGAACTTATGGCGGTTCTCAAACGGAAAGTCCGAAAGATTTGCAATATCATCAGGATTCTCCGTTGCAACAGACGAAGGATTTTGTTAATTACGTCAACTCTCCTCATCCGTCTTTAGCGACACAAAGTCCACTTCCATCTCCGATCACGCATCACGATTCACCGAGTTTCACTTATCCCACTCCGCCGGCTAGTCAAGAAGGTCAAAGTCCATCTTTCGGTCAGGGACTCCTTACCGGGTCTCTTCGTATATCGTCGCCTCAGCAAAGTAACGACGGATTCGTACAATCTGTTATTTCGCACGGCGGGGGACCAGTCCCGGTTTCGTCGCCGTTGTCCTCTGCCTTTTACACGTCAACGATGTCCAGTGCCGCTGCCGTTGAAGCAGCTTTATCAGAGGTTTTACCTTTAGACAGCCAAAATACTTGCAACGGTCCCGTACGACTCAGCATGTATCAACCTTCGCCGCCTCCTCATTCTCCATTTTCGGGTACTCCCGTTCCATCACCTTTATCATTATCGAGCGTGCCGGCTTCTTCCTCTTCCGTGTCTTCCCCGATGCCTCAAACTGCCTTTAATAATTCCCAAAATCACAATTCTTTTCCACTTTCTCCGCAGCAAACTTTGCAATCTCAAATGATGCCAAATTCCGAAGATCCACTCTTATCCAGTAGTCCGAAAGATTTCGCGAGCAGAAAAAGATTCGATTTTAACGGAGTTCATTCCTTTAAACTCATCGGAAATGGAATGGTGGATCTCGGAAGCGGAGGATTGGGAATCATGGTGGATACAAACGGAGAGCTTAAAATATTTCAAGCAGCATCTCCGCAGCAAGCCAAAAATTTAGTCATGTCTGGAGCTTCAATAATTAATTCAACGACTGGAACCTACGTCAGAAAAGTATGTTTTCTCCAAAATTCTTTTTCTCCGAAAACATTTCCAATTTAAAATTATTTCAATGCTATCAAAAAAAATTTTTTTTTCAGGCTGAAACAGGAACGCCGATCAGGATAACCGGAAGTTATACGACGCCACAACATTTCACAATATTACAAAATGTTTTACGTAATCAAAGGCCCAAGGTTCAAATTCCGTTAGAAAATTTAAAAGAAGAAGTAGAAGACGATGTTTTCGTGAGTCCTTCGAGTATTCCTTCGAGCCCGTCGAGAGCAATGAAAAGGAAATCAGTGAAAATGGAACCATTTTTTGGAACTACGACTCCTTTTCACACGGGTCATCAATCAAAATTAAGAGCCCCCCGAGTTAAAGACATTGGAACTCCTCCGCCGTATACGCCAGCTCCGATGTTGAGCCCGAATAGGCCGGGACAAGGGCTTTACTGGCAAGCCATAACTTCGGCAACTTCTTCATCATCGTGGCCAACATCAACAACTATCGGTACTCCTTTTTCCCCTTTTTCCCTCTCCCCCCGCATTTGCTAGAAGTATAATTTCTCTTTTTATTTCTAACACGACAGGTGCAGCAACAGAAAAGAACGAATTTTCGGATTCACCGATAGAAAGTGATGCTCACCCACACATAAACATCGGTCCTAGACATCAAGCAACGATTCCCAGTCTGGAGACTGATTTTTTTAAATTAGATAGAGAACCATCTTACGAGCATCTCCTTTGGGATCCGGGCATAGGAAAACTTTGCAACGATTCCGAAATCGAAATGTATTTGGAATTTGCCTGTTGTGCTGCTGTTCCCGGAGGTGGTCGTAACAAAGAATACGCATTACACCTCCTTAATATGTGCCATGGAAACATTCATGTGAGTTTTTCTACAATTTGTGCGTGTGTGTCGACACACGCGCGCGCGCATCGACAACCTTCTAAATTTTCTTTTTTTTTCTAGGAGGCCATGTTGAAACTCATGCAACCCACACCCTGGCTTCCACCTGGTCATCCTCTCTTGGCCTACGAATATGCAGAAAGCGATAGGTGGAGCGCCGACGAAGTTGATGCATTTCATCAAGGTTTGCTCAAATTCGATAAGGATTTCCAGACAATCGCCCACGAGGTACGCTAATTAAAAAACCTTTTCTTCCTTTTTTCCCTTTTCCTTTTTCCTTTTACTACTAGATAACGATTTGAATCCTCTCTCTATCATCTTATTATTTTACAGATTGGGTCAAAAACAATAAAGCAATGTATTCAGTTTTATTATTTATGGAAGAAAATCTGCCCTGAGGAGTACAAAAGATTGCGATTGTTAAGACGAAGAAAAGAATCTGAGCCAATAAAAACGGAAATGGATTTAGATTACGACGAAATTAAAATTGAACCCGATTTAAGGCATTCAAGCCCCGTAAGATGATCGTTTCCGCTTCTTTTTTTTTTTTCCAAGAAGAATACATTTTTATTAAGAAGAAAATAAAAAAAAAACTAATCGCTTACGTTTATCTTATAGGCAAACGATGTCGATCTTGTATCAACGAGTTCGGAAAGTCGACTTTTCGTATGCGAATACACGGATTGTTCAGCTGTAAGATATTTTAAATTTTTTTTCGTTTCCGGTTTTTCCACACATTTTCCAATTATATTATTATTTTCACTTTCGAACAGGACAAGATTTTGTGTACTTGTCGGAGCCCTTTAACAACTACTATTCCAGGTCTCTACCGGATTCCTTCGACTTTCGTTGGTACTATTCATATAGTATCCCGAAGAATGTGGGTCGTCCCACATGGTGCGATTTCCTGGATGGTTTCTTCTTTTAAATTTCCTTTCATTAAATGTGGCATGGTTCCCAGTGCTGCTCCCACGATGATCGGAATAGTATTTGTCTTTACTTCCCACATCCTGGCTATTTCAGTCCTCTATTTGTCCTCTTCTTTGGCCGTCTGGTGTTTTTTGCTTTCCACCGATACGGATTTCCTTTATCTCATTTGCAACACCTTTGAGCATAATGTCTCTTATGTGTTCACAGAGTTTTAATTCTCGTGCTGCATTGAGTGGTCACATAAGAATACACGGTGGTACTCTTGGCGGACGTGCGTCGACACCGGACAGAAGAGGAAACGGAGTCGGAAACTCGTTAGAAGAGTTTCCCTGCAAGATCTGCGGGAAGTAAGTCCTCAATGTTGTAAACTTCTACCTTCTTATTGATTAAGGTAAACTTTTTACTCATTGACCTCATGCCTGGTTGAGCGTTAGAAGTTACTTCAACCGTTTTTTTTTTTTTTTTTTACCCGAATCAAGCTTTTGACAAAACAAAAAAACGTTGCAAGGAAGCATCATTTTCTTTCTTTCTTTCACTTTCACTATTTCACTTTTTCTTTCTTTCTTTCTATCTCTATCTATCTCTCTCTTTGTTGTTTGTCCTCCCAAAAGGATAAAACGCATCATAGCAACTATTGTGAAGCAATTAGATTGTTGTGATCCTAAAAGAAAAAAGTTTTACTTAATCAATACCAGAAATTTTTTTTTTTATATTAATATTAATAATGATTTTAATTTAATCGATTAATAAATAATTTATTGATTTATTGATTTGGCAAAAATGATGATGAACTAATTTGATAATAGAAAATTTCATTTCTTCTGCCACTACTAACAATATTAAATAAATCAATAAACGAATGCGTTCGCACATTTTTATTTGACGTCATGGTGTAATTAAAAAGTTTTTAGTGATAATGATAACGGTGATAATGATGATAATACACATAGTAATTTAGTTTTAGTTAATATGATGATGTTAGTTAGTAGTTGAAACTAGAAAATAACGGGGGGGGGGGGGGGAGAATCACAATAACAATCCGTGTATGCGCAAAACAAAAAAAATAGAATTTAGTTTTCATTTTTTTTTAACCGGAAGTAAAAATAGATGAAAATATATGTGTTGCTTGTTTACGTTACGCTTACGTGTGTACATACATATATTTAAATTTTTTGGCGGGAAAAAGAAAGAAAGTCGTTTTAAAAATGAAGAATAATAAAAATAAAAGGGGAAAATAAAAAATCGTTTTTTTCGTCTCTATTCGCTTCTCCAGTTTCGTTCGTTCTTCTCCCCCCTCCTCGGATTTAGCGTTATGCTGGAGAAAACGCTGGAGAAGGAAAAAATATTTTAAGACGCACACGTACAGCCACGCACGTTTTTCTCACTTTTTTTATTTTTTTTTCTAGAATTTTCAGCAAAGTTAAAAGTCGTAGCGCTCACATGAAATCTCACAGGCCACCCGATGCCGAACCTAAAAAATCAAAAGTCGACACACACAAAGCTGAACTTGCCGAACAAGCCGTTGGGAGAACGGTTGGAGTTACCAGTTCTTCGATTCCTATATCGAGATTAACTTAGTTTTAAATAGAAAAAACAACAAACCCCCCCCCCTCGTCGAAAGAAAACAAAAGGCGTTCGTACGTTCGTCGTCATGAAAACGTCATCGAAACAATAACGAAACGAAATTACAGCAAGGTACTCTACAGCAGGATACTCGACACAAACAAAACAGAAAAAAACGATAAAAAGGTCAACATTTTTTTAAAAAAATATTCCACGTGACAATGGAAGAAGTAATTAATAAAACACGTGCAAAATTAAATAATAATAATAATAATTAAACGAAAAATAAACACAGACACACACACACACACACCAAAAATCTGATTGAAGAAAACTTCAATTTGAGGTTAGTAATAATAATAATATTAAAATTCATTTGCTCCCCCTCCCTTTACACCTCCCCCCCATTCCCGTACCCCTAATTAATCCTAATTGTTTCGAACGATTTTCATTAAAATTAATAATAATAATAATAATAATTTTGTTTGTTTTCCTTTTCAATGTTATAAATATATATATATATATATAAATAAATAGAAATGTGTCATATTGTATTAATTATTATTATTATTATTATTACGAAATATTAAATAATAATAATAATAATAATAATAATAATAATAATAATAATAATAAAGCCTCTCTATTTTCATATTTAATATGTTTTTTAAACGTAATTTTAAAAATAAAAATAAAAAAACAAAAAAAAAGATTTATGACGTAATTTTTTTTTTAAACTCGTTTTATTACGAGAGTAAAAAAAAAAATTTTCGAGAAAATAATAATAAATAAATAATAATAGTAATAATAATAATAATAATAATAAATAAATAAATAAATGAAATGTTTTCTCTCTTTCTCTCTTTTCGTGTGCTTTACGATTTCGGTTAACGAGAGGAAGAAAAAAGAAAGGCATAAAAACAAATCGCGTTACCGAAAAATGAAACAAAAAAAAAATTATTATTAAGTAGTTGATCTCATCGGTTTTATCATGTTATTACTTTCCCCTTCTTCCCCTCCTTTCCCCTCTCTCCTTTTTTATCATGGGCTGCCTGTCGTTTTTTTAGCTCCTCCCTTTTTTGCTTTTTCCCCTTTACGTTTAACTCTTTCTCACTTCCCCTTCTTTTTACTCGATCTTTTCCCCTCATCATTTTTTTCACTTCTTCTCTTACCCCTACTCTTTTATTCTTTCCCCTCCCTTTTTTTCCCTCCTTTCTTTAACTCTTTCTCACTTCCCCTTCTTTTTACTTAATCGTTTTTTTCACTCCTTCTCTTACCCCTTCTATTTTATTCTTTCCCCTCTCTTTTTCTCCCTCACTCACGAAACCTTTTCTTGATTTGTTTGTTCGTTTCTCTCTATCTCACTCTCACTCACGAAATCATCATTCTTTCCCCCTTTTTCACCACCATCACCACATTCTCCTCCTCCACTTATTTCCTTTCCACTTTCTTTATATTATTTAAACAACAATAATCACTGCCATAGAACCTTCCACCTTAAATCACTTCACAAAAATATTCGCGTCAATTTTCTCTCCCCTTCTCTCTCACATTCTCAATAACTAACCTGGCAACGCTGACATTGATAATTTTTTTTTTTTTATAATAAGTGCGATTACTCGCAAAAATCGAAATCCGTGACGTAATTATAAAAAACGTAATTTTTTTATTTAAAAAAAAAGCGCGCGCGCATATATAAGAAGAGCAGACTGGATGCGAAAACAATCTCGCTTCAATAAAAAAAAAAAAATTTTTTAAATTAACTTTATTAATAATAATAATAATAAGCTATACGTATATGCATTTTTATTAGAAAATCTTAACTGCTCAATTAGAATTTTCCTTTTTTCTTTTTGTTTTATTATTATTATTATTATTACTATTTTAAGATTGTTTGACTAAACATTTTTGAAATTTTTTCTACTTTTTTTTTTTTAATGTCTCCAACTTTTTCCTTCAGAACGTATTTTTTTTTTTGTTAAAAAGGGAAAACAAACAAAAGTTTGTTGTTTGTAATCAAGTCCACGTGATTTGATGGCAACAACCATAAAAAAAATATAAAAAATTTTCTTTTATTTTGTTATTGATTTATTAAGTTTTTTTTTTAAATAACTATTAATAAATATTGGTTATACGATTATTATTATTATTAGCAATTTAATAATACGTGTAAATTGTGCTCAAATTTGTTATTTATTAATTTATTATTATTATTATTATTATTACTATTACTAGGTAGATTATTTTGTATTAATTTTTTTTTCTTTTTTTTTTGTTTGTTGGTTTTTTTATTATTGTTAAATTTAAACGTTAATATGAAATTTAATCGTTTTACTCTTTCTCTCTCTTTCTCTTTCTTTCTCTCTCTCTCTCTCATTTTTTTTTTTTTAAATTTCCTACATATAAAAAAATTTCTATTGATTTTATTTATTAACTTTCGAGTTTATTTTTCATCGTTTGATTGCCAATTAATTTCATAGCACAAATGTTTTTTTTTTTTACGTCATTTCCGTTTCCGCACAAATATTTCTTTATTGCTCAATCTATTGAAATATATTTTACAATTTAGTACATGCGGCGGCGGTAAAATAAAAATAAAAAATTCAACCGGAAACAACCGGAATTTCAGGTCCATTCGTTTTCTTTCAATCATTATTTGGATCAATGGTTTCGAATGTAACTTTTATCTCTCTCTCTCTCTCTCTCTCCCCTCTTTTCCCCCTTCCTTTTTTCCCCTTTTCCTCTTCTCTCTATTTTCCCCTCTTTCCCCTTCTCTCTATTTTCCCCTTTTCCCCTTCTCTCTTATCTCCTTTTTCTCCTCTTTCCCCTTCTCTCTCTTTCCCCTTCTTTCTCTTTCCCTTCTTTTCTCTCTTTCTCCCTCTCTCTCTGCACTTCACTGAACATTGTGCCATCCGAACAATCAAAAAAAAAAAAAAAACTACACATTTCCTTGTACTAAATAATTTCCCTAAATTTTCGAAAATTTAATTAATCTGGCAATCAAGAAAACAATGATAACGTTATCACACTATTAATGCTATTATTATTATGTAAACATAAAACAATAATAATAATAATAAAGAGCTCTTTCTTCCTACTCACTCCCTCCTATAACCGTGCTTCCATTAAATGTCTTTTTTTTTATTTGACGACGTTGACAAATTTGATTTTCCCTCCTTTTGTTCCCTTTTCCCCTTCATTTTCCCCTTTTCTCCTCTTTCTCCCTCTTTCCTTCTTCCCCTTTTTCTCCTTCCCACTCCCCTCCCGTTCTTTTTATTTTTTTATTTTCTAGTCTATACGATTCTGCTCAAAACAAAAATAATAATAATAATAATAGTAATAATAATAATAATAAAATTTATTTTTTTAAAACACGAAATAAATAATAAAAAAAAAATCGATTTGATTTTAATTTTTTTTTTTTTTTAATTAGATAAGTTAAACATGTAAAATTAAAATAATAATAATAATAATTTAAAAAATTGATCTTCCCCTAATTCGTATGTATATCTATTTCGTACACTATTTTATTATTATTATTCTTACAACTTTTTTAATTTATATTTGTACCTAAAAATTTACTCATTCATTCAATCATTCATTTAATTAGAGATTCCACGTGATTTTTATAATAAATAATGAATGAATGAATGGATTGATCGATCGATGGATCGATTATAAAATTAACGAAACAATTATTATTATTATTATTATAGTTGAATTAAAATCAATTGGTTGTGTTAGATTTAAGATTATTATTTATTTATTTATTTATTTATTTATTATTTTTTAAAAAGGTCGTTAAAATATTACGCGTGAATCATGATGTGAAATCCAATCATCATTTTTATATACATCATAATAATAATAATAATAATAATAATAATAATAATAATAATAATAATAATAATAATAATAATATACATAAAATATCGGCCTTAACGACGCCGCGTGTAAAAAAATTTTTGTTTTAAAATTAAATCTATATAATCGTGAAACCGAATTACATTTTCCGTTTTTTTTTTAACTATTTCCGGTTTATTTATTTCAATTAGTAACGTTTTGTAAAATTATTTTAATTTGAAAATTATTCGGGAAAAATTAAAAAAAAAAAAAAAGAAAAAAAAAATTTAACGCTCTATAATTATTTATGTTGTTGTTGTTGTTAATACTATTATTATTATTATTATTATTATAAGTATCATAAACGTCATTATCATTCCTCTTTGATTGATACGTGTTATTTATATTATACGTGTGTGTATATATTAAAAAAAAAATTTTTCTTTTTTTTATAGCATTTAAAAATGACGGCTAAATAAAAAAATTTCATTTATTTATTTTAAATTTAACGAAGACTTATAATATTTTGTTATGCTGTATTTAACAAACGATAAAACAACCGGAAATGTAATTTTTATTTAAATACCAACCGATATACCCCCCGCCCCCCCGATCGGAAACAAACAAAAAAAATTAAATATGTCGATCGTCACGCATATCGCACGCGAACGATTACTAACGATTTCATTAATTTTAATTTTCTTTTATTCGCACTTTAGCTATTTCCCCTTCTCCCCTCCCCTCTTCTAATTTTCCCTTCCTTTCTTCCTTTCAATCTCTCTCACGTATCTCAAGAATCCACGTGTTTCGTGACTCCTCCTTCTTTCCCCTATTCTCGCTTACCCTAATTTCCCCTCTTTTCATTTTCTCCGACGTATCGTGTTCCGTGACTCCTCCTCCTCTTTCTCCTTCTACACTTCCCCTCCACATAATCCGTTATCGAAAAAAATTTCCTTTCAATTCTTCCCCTCCCGATTTTTTTTTCCCCTTTCCCCTAAAACGATTTCACCTTTTTTTCTCCCTCATTCGCCGATTGGTTTTTTTTTCTTTTTTCTCCTCCCGCCCACTTCCAAGCCCCTCCACCTGTTCGTTCTTGGACTTTAAAAAATTTAAATTTAAAAAATATAAAATACTACTTTTACTTCTACTACTACTAATAATAATAATAATAA